ACACTGGGAGCTCCCCTCCAGGGTGGGAGAATGGGTGGGCTCTGCCACTCCACAGCAGGCTAGGAACTGGGCTCAGAGGCTAACTGGAGAGGGCTACAGGCAAGGTTGTCCCATCCTAGGGACTGTCTTCCCTTCCCTATGCCAACTCTGGGCCTTGAGGAATGTGGTATTTGGAGGCTCCAATCTGGTCTCAGCCAGGCAAGGGGTATTATGGAATTTGTGGGTCTGCTCTTAGGTCAGAGAAATACAGAGGGCCCAGTGTCCCCTGCCTGGAACCAGGGTGGTGGTGGCAGCAGTAACACCAAGCAACATGAATATCTGGGGGGCTAGCTCTGAGGCTGAGGAGTCCATTTGCCCTCCCTCAGTTACAGGTGCTGAGAATGCAGACAGTGGATTGCTGGATTCTCTTTCAGGACTTCAATAAATGTATGTCGAATGAACAAAAGGGAACAGCAATACTAGGAACAGGCAAATCAGCAAGAGTAGTCCCTGGGAGGTTGGAATGTCCCGAAAGGTGGCTGAGGCCCAGTGATGGGGACCCAGGCAATTGGTAGCAGGGAAGTATGTCACAAGTAATAGGCCCAAGCACAGAGGCAAGGTTAAGGGGACTCCATGCCTGAGAGTGGTTCCCCAAGAGCAGAACTATGTCCTGGGGACACAATGATCCAAAAAGCAGATAGTAATGCCATTGTTCTCTCAAAGGACTTAAACTTCAGTCCTGAGGTGCCAATTAAGCTACTAAGACCAAGATGCAGACATATAGAAGGGCAAGAACTAATTCACAGAGCAGGGAAAGAAGGCACAGTGATTTGAGGCTCTATCCACAAGGTGCTGGGCCAGAGCCCTGGTCCTAGAGTTGAGGAATGGGGTGTAGAGATAGGAGCCATGAAAAGCCTAGGAACAAGGTAGAGTTTGGTATGTGCCTATTAGTGAGTTCAGAAATCTCAATAAATTACCACTACACTTGAAAAGCTGACAGAAGGTGAACACTAACATTAGAAGGTCAATGCTTCATCATGAAATAGAGTAGGTGTCAAATTCTAATTCAACAAATTCTGATAAACTGGCCAAAATCCTTTCTGGTCTGGAATTTGGTTAAGTAAGTGAATTTGCCCTCTTGACTAGAAGGATCTATGTCACAGTCAGCTTTGGTAGTATCAATCAAAAAGATTTTAGGCCGGGCGTGGTGGCTCACACCTGTAATCCTAGCTCTCTGGGAGGCCGAGACGGGCGGATTGTTCAAGGTCAGGAGTTCGAAACCAGCCTGAGCAAGAGTGAGACTCGCTCACTAAAGAAAAAAATTAATGGCCAACTAAAAATAATACAAAAAAATTAGCGGGCATGGTGGCACATGCTTGTAGTCTCAGCTACTTGGGAGGCTGAGGCAGGAGGATCGCTTGAGCCCAGGAGTTTGAGGTTGCTGTGAGCTAGGCTGACGCCATGGCACTCACTCTAGCCTGGGCAACAAATCGAGACTCTGTCTCAAAAAAAAAAAAAAAAAAAAAAAAACAACCACTTAGGGGCCGGGAGCAGTGGCTCAGGCCTGTAATCCTAGCACTCTCCGAGGCCAAGGCAGGCTGATCCTTTGAGCTCAGGAGTTGGAGACCAGCCTGAGCAAGAGCAAGACCCCGTTTCTATTAAATATAGAAACAAATTAATTGGCCAACTAAAAATACATAGAAAAAATTAGCCAGGCATGGTGGTGCCTGCCTGTAGTCCCAGCTACTCGGGAGGCTGAGGCAGCAGGATTGCTTGAGCCCAGGAGTTTGAGGTTGCTGTGAGCTAGGCTGACACCACGGCACTCTAACCCAGGTGACAGAATGAGACTCTGTCTCAAAAAAACCCCCAAAAAACCATTTAAGTGGTCAGCCAAAAATATGATTATTATTATTATTTTTTTTTTTTTTTGAGACAGAGTCTCACTTTGTTGTCCAGGCTAGAGTGAGTGCCGTGGCGTCAGCCTAGCTCACAGCAACCTCAAACTCCTGGGCTCAAGCAATCCTCCTGCCTCAGCCTCCCGAGTAGCTGGGACTACAGGCATGTGCCACCATGCCCGGCTAATTTTTTTAAATATATATCAGTTGGCCAACGGCTAATTTTTTTATATATATATCAGTTGGCCAATTAATTTCTTTCTATTTATAGTAGAGACGGGGTCTCGCTCTTGCTCAGGCTGGTTTTGAACTCCTGACCTTGAGCAATCCGCCCGCCTCGGCCTCCCAACAGCTAGGATTACAGGCGTGAGCCACAGCGCCCGGCCAATATGATTATTATTATTACAAGAATGGAACACTGAATAATCATTAAAATAACTTTATTAATATAGACAACACAAACATAAAGTGCACTGTGCTGAAATTAAGAATTTTATAGTTTTCTGATAATCTTTCCTTCTCATTGATCAATTTTGATAATGGTCCATTTGTCTGTTACTACAATGCAATTAGGCCTTTTACATCTAATTCCCATTTTTAACAATATTCACAGAATTACAGATTTCTAAAATGTTTTTGGAATTACATGCTATTATTAAGCTATATTTCATACAATTGACAATTTTTTTAGAGTAATACTATCATTGTAGAAGCCAAATGATAGCTCATTCAATAAAATGATAACATATTATGCCATTTAAAGTCCTAGCATGTAGGAGCAGAAAGACCCAAAATTTCCTTCTGAAGGTGTAGTTTTGTTTTAACTATCACACACTTTACAAAATAACTTGTTCTTCCAAGCTGAGAGTGACGAGTGCCATGCTTCTGAACCACATCTATAAAACAGCATTCTGGGTTAGAAAGAAAACACATCGGCTCTTTTGAACACACTCCACATCCTTCTAGTCACCTAATTCTATGGTCAGAACAATTATCCAAACTTAAACAAGTCAGACTTTCTTTTTTTCTTTTTTTGAGACAAAGTCTCTATTGCCCGGGCTAGAGTGCCAAGGTGTGTTAGCCTAGCTCACAGCAAGCCCAAACTCCCAGACTCAAGTGATCCTGCTGCAGCCACCCAAGTAGCTAGGACTACAGTCATGTGCCACTGTGCTCAGCTAACTTTTTTATTTTAGTTGCCCAGCTCATTTCTTTCTATTTTCAGTAGAGACAGGGTCCTTTGCTCTTGCTGAGGCTGGTCTCAAACTCCTGACCTCAAGCAATCGTCCCACCACAGCCTCTCTCAGTGCTAGGATTACAGGCATGAACCACCACGCCTGGCTAAATCAGACTCTCTGAAAAGTGGATGGGACACAATAATCTCATGATGTCAATGTCTTATTATTTGTCAAAGATGCAGATACACGAAATTCAAACATCTTGTCTTTGTCTATTAAAGGGTCCCTAAGTTAGGATTTTCATATCACTTAAAAGTATCTGAGGAATCTGAAGACATAGAGAGGCTTAAGGTAGATTTATGGAAACCTAACATTTCAATCTCTGATTAGAGATGAAGCTAAAAGTGAAATTTTACATTGAGCCCAAGGATTTTTATCATCTCTGAAAGATCAGAAAATACACTCAAACTTTTTAAAAGTGGGCAATGGAGTCTAATTCTAGAGTTGCTGTATCAACTAGCTTGACTAATTAATTTTTGTAGCCAATAAATCAAGAAGTTAGACAGAAAAAAGTACAATCTAAATGTTTGGTGTTTTTTTTCATTCAGTACCTTTATAAAAAGAGTGCAGTAACTCCAGTAGGCTAATTTCCTGTTCTTAACATTTCCACCCATATACAGGGTGCCCCAAAAATCTTAGAACAGTTTTGAAATTTAATAAGCTCAGCTGTTTGTTTTATTTATTTATTTTGAGACGGAGTTTCGCTTTGTTGCCCAGGCTTGAATGAATGCCATGGCTCCAGCCTAGCTCACAGCAACCTCAAACTCCTGGGCTCAAGCAATCCTCCTGCCTCAGCCTCCCGAGTAGCTGGGACTACAGGCATGCGCCACCATGCCCAGCTAATTTTTTACATATATATATCAGTTGGCCAATTAATTTCTTTCTATTTATAGTAGAGACGGGGTCTCGCTCTTGCTCAGGCTGGTTTTGAACTCCTGACCTTGAGCAATCCGCCCGCCTCGGCCTCCCAAGAGCTAGGATTACAGGCGTGAGCCACCGCGCCTGGCCCAGGCTAATTTTTTTTTCTATATATATTAGTTGGCCAATTAATTTCTTTCTATTTATAGTAGAGACAGGGTCTCGCTCTTGCTCAGGCTGGTTTCGAACTCCTGACCTCGAGCAATCCGCCCACCTCGGCCTCCCAGAGTGCTTCAGCAGTTTAAATGTAGCCAACTTGCAAAAAGCATACATCATTTGGACGTTTACCTGGTTAAATTTCATTATACTTCTTCAGTTTTGAGATTTTTTTGATAATGCATTTTTTTAAAATAATTTTTTTAGAGACAGAGACTTGCTGTCACCCAGGCTAGAGGGCAGAGGTGGAATCATAGCTCACTGTAACCTTGAATTCCTGGGTTCAAACAATCCTCTGTACTCAGCCTCTGGAGTAGAGAGGACTACAGACAAGGGTCTCACTCTATTGCCCAGGCTAGTTTGAACTGGCCTCAAGTGATCCTCCCACCTTGGCCTCCAAAAGTGCTGGGATTACAGGAATGAGCCACCCTGCCTGGCCCTAATAAAACATTTTTAAGTTTTGTTGTTGTTAAGTACCTGTGTCTGAAAATGGAAACAGCGTTTTTAACTTATTAGAACTTAAAGCTGCATTAAGACTTTTGGAATACCCTGTATAATACCCAAGTCTGAGACCCAGTGCTAGCTCATTTCACGTGATAACTGACATTTAAACTGAGATGGATTAAACTGTTTTCTTCAAAAGCAAGTTCTCTTCTTTTCTTGCTATGTCCTCAGAGCCAACCTGATAGATTTCTCACTCCCACATCACTGGGATGTGATTGGTTTTGTGAAAAGTATTATACAAAGGCAAACAGTTCTTAAATTCTCAGCCTCTATGTCAGATGTCAGTGGAACTGAAAATTACTTGGGGCAGTACTGTGATCGTGAACATCAAAATGATCATATTTTAATAAATTTCCACAGATGTATCCAGTTAAAAAAACCTGTCTTGACCCCAGGTGTTTTCTCTCCTCCTTCATCAGTGTTATCTGGTTTTTTATCTGAGACTTCTTTTGTTTTTATAAGAGTCTCATATATTTTCTGGGCTCTGATAATTTCTTTCTGTGCATCAAAATGGACTTTTTGCCTGGTCAGGATGGGGACAATTAAATTAAAATCATTAATTCGCTTGTTTAGTTTTCTAATGTTTTCTTGAAACTGCTCACAAACTTGGTCCCATTGTTTCTGTTCCATTGGTGTCATTGGATTCCCAAGTTTTTTCCTAGACACTAAAATTTCCTCTCTGAGTTGCTCAATAGTATCCTTTATTTCCTTTTGCATGAGGATCCATTCTGGCTGGTATCCATTATCTATCAATATTCTGTTCAGGTTGTGAGTCATAGGATCAATGTAGGAACAGCCAGAAAACTTTTTTAGAGGTTTTCCTTTCCCGCTGAGATTGTCAAAGTCTCCTTTTGCCATTGATTCTTGAATGAGGTCCTCCACTAAACGCTCTATAGCTTGAGTTATCTTTTGCTCTTTGCTGTGTCTTACATCTTTAACAGTTAGACTATCAGCGAAATAATGGCTGTGTAGTTTCTGTTTTTGATATTCCATCACTTGTTCAGTTGCACGGTCTGCCCTAAATTGCCTATATTGCTTCTCTCGTTGACTTGGAGTACCAAAACCAATACCTTCAAAACTTAAATAATGCCGGTGTTGAGGTGTTTTATATTTGAATTTTTCTTCCTCTTCTTCTGCTTCTTCAACTTTATTTTGTCTGGCATTTGTTTGTTCTATCACATGGGAAAGCACCTTTCTATAAGCTTCTTCGATCCTTACAAATATCGCAGAATCAGCGGTGTTAGAGCCACTGTCTGGATGGTATTGCTTGGCAAGCTTGCGAAAAGATTCTCTGACATCGTCTGCAGAGCATCCTTCATCCAGACTCAGCAGCATGTAATATTCTTTGATATTCTTTTTGGATTTATGGGTCGACATCATTCTATTTCTAATGACACCAAGATATGGAAGCATTTTCATTCGATTAGGAATCACTGAAGCATTTATCAGATGAAATCTTAAGATTTGAGGCATCATCATGTACATTGTGTTCATTATTGTACTCAGAGTTCTTCCTAGCAAAGATCTATAAAACAACAAATAAAGGTTGAACAAAGCTGTGTTATCAGTTAATTTCTAAATTTCATCAATAAGAAGGATGGCAGGGTATCTTCCTACAAGTACAATAAGAGGCAGTACTTTCTAATACCACTGTCAAAATTCCTGTGGCTGTATTTCATTGATGTTAGCAAAGAAATGGAAGTTGATGAAGCTTAGCCTTAACATATTGTGATATGATCTGGATTCTACTAACCACAGAATTTTACAGGTGGAAAGTTCTTAGAGATCATCTAATCCAATCTTCTCATTTTACAAGAAAAGATAAGTCCAAAAAGTTAAGCAACTTAACTAAGTCACATAACAAGGTGCAAGCAAAATAGTTACGGTTGGGGCACAATGATAAGGACTCGTCTTTAATTGCCCCAGCAGATTATAAATTTCGGCAGCACCACTATTTCTTCAATTACTGTATCATAATTTTCACCTTCTCAAGGAGTCTTCTCATAAGAAGACTTAAGCACATGAAACAGAATATTACAAAATATATGCCCAGGCTGATACTGGATTGAATAGAATCAAGGGTCCAAAAGACTTTAAGTAGCCAGGCACTGGTGAGTTGACATCTGTAATCCTGGCACTTTGGGAGGCCAAAGTGGGAGGCTGCTGTGAGCTATGATGATCCACTGCACTTTAGCCCTCGCAACAGAGCGATACCCTGTCTCATTCATTCATTCAATCATACATACATACACACATAAGCAAAAAAGAAGAAGAAAGTCTTTAATCTCCGTAGCTCGTTGGGAAGGAGCTATTTGCTAGGTGCTGGGAAAAACAAGATGAAGGGTGAGCCCTTCCATTCATCTAGTAAAGGAAAAAAAACGTGTACACAGACAATGGCAGTGAAATACTGGAAGTGGGATTTTTATATGTGAACCCTAAAACGGAGGTCCTGGGACCATGCCCCTTTTCAGGACAATCGGGGTCAACGGCTTTTAGAACTGGCTGGGACGGCGGTGGCTGTCCCAGCGGTGGCCCCTGCGAGGGAGGTCCGTCCCAACCTGGCACACGCCTCGCCCCGCCCCCTACTCACCGTAACAGACACGGGGAAGGTGACGGCGGGCGCCCGCCCCCATGCTGCGCGTCTGCGCGGTGAGCGCGCGCCGCCCTTCGCCCCCCGACGTCCCCACCGCGGCCGGCGGCCGGTGTCCCCGCCGGACTAGACCATCTGCAGCTCTACGCTGAGGGGAACCCGGAGAGTGCGGAGCGCAGAACCGTACCTGACTGGGACAGGCGGCCTGCCTCACCAGGGAAACTGAGAATCTCTCTGGGAACGAACTTTACCCAAGAGGACAGGCAGGACAGCTCGGAAGCCCCGTCCCGCCCGGGGCGACGAGCTCCGCCTCCGCCCCCGCCCCGAGCGGAGGTGGTTCGGCCGAGTGGGATTGTGGGAGGTGGAGTCCGGCCGAGTGGGATTGTGGGAGGTGGAGTCCGCGGGGAGATGCGCTGTGCGCCTGCGCCTCCGGGGAGGGGCGCGGGGGCGTCCGGGATGGTTCGAGGCCAGGTGGGAGGCTTGTCGCAGTTTGGCGGAGTAGGAGTTTTTTGGGACCCTGAATTTTCTGTGGTTCGCAGGACAATGGTCGTCGGTAACTTGTTTTGGGCAGGGTAAAACTAGGCCGTTTCCCAGACGGTACCCGAACAGCATCTTTGGGTTGGCAGAAGGGGACACCTGCGCAGGTACCTGAAGGATCTTGCCCCAGGTCACGAAGCTACCGGGCGAAGACACTTGATCTTTCAGTAATTCCGCAAGTTAATATTGGGCAGCTCGCCAGGCCAGAGGACAAAATCAGAATAGAGGTCTTCTGGCTTCGAATTCAACCACTGACGTGGGGATTAAACATTTCCCCTGCTGGACAGGAAGCACATTTTTTAAAAATAGAAGACAGAAAGAAATAGAAAAAAAGGATAAAAAGAAAGAAAAGACAGAGGCTTAGGAATTTTCAGACCCAGATTGAAAGTCCTGTTTCTTCTGCTTGCTGTGGACCTTAGGCAAGATACTTGTCTGTGTCTGTCTGTGAAATGAGGGTACCAGGAAATAATAAACTTGTATTTAGCACATAATATTTGCACTGTATATGTATATTTTATGTCTATTTTAATCTTTACAACAGTCTTATGAGATAAGTGCTTTTATTTTCCCCATTTTACATCTGATGAGAAAATTGCATCAAACTCCCTGGATATTTTCTGAGAATTGGACATTGTGTAAAAACCACTTGGGGCTGGGTGCGGGTGGCTCACGCCTGTAATCCTAGCACTCTGGGAGGCCAAGGCGAGTGGATCGCTCAAAGTCAGGAGTTCGAGACCAGCCTGAGCAAGAGCGAGACCCGTCTTTACTATAAATAGAAATCAATTGGCCAACTAATATATATAGAAAAAACTATCCGGGCATGGTGGCGCATGCCTGTAGTCCCAGCTACTCGGGAGGCTGAGGCAGTAGGATTGCTTGAGCCTAGGAGTTTGAGGTTGCTGTGAGCTAGGCTGACCGACACTCACTCTAGCCTGGGCAACAAATCGAGACTGTCTCAAAAAAAAAAAAAAAAAAAAAAAAAAGAAAAAATTAGCTGGGCATGGAGTCCCAGCTACTCGGGAGGCTAAGGCAGGAGGATTGCTTGAGCCCAGTAGTTTGAGGTTGCCGTGAGCTAAGCTGATGCCAGGGCACTCTAGGCAACAGAGTGAGACTCTGTCTGGAAAAAAAAAAAAAAAAAAAACAAAACACTTGGCACAGTGCCCGGCACATTATGCAATATTTTTTGTTATGACTGTTAGTCCTAAAACGAGCCAGAAATAGGTACTAGCCTTTCTAAGCTTCTGAGTTATAAACAATATAATTGTTTATTGCCTTCTATGTGGTGCACAGAAAAAGGTACAGTATAAATTCTGATTCAGAGGGCTTTAGTTATAAGTAGGCAATTAACATAAAATAACTCCTCTGTGGAAGAAAATAGGGTTTCTATAAATGTTAACTCTTCTAGTCAACATCTTAAACAGCATAAAAGAAAAAGCACAGTTTAAAAATAACAAAACAGGCCAGGCGCGGTGGCTCACGCCTGTAATCCTAGCACTCTGGGAGGCCGAGGCGGGCGGATTGCTCGAGGTCAGGAGTTTGAAACCAGCCTGAGCAAGAGCGAGACCCCGTCTCTACTATAAATAGAAATTAATTGGCCAACTAATATATATACAAAAAATTAGCCGGGCATGGTGGCGCATGCCTGTAGTCCCAGCTACTTGGGAGGCTGAGGCAGTAGGATCGCTTGAGCCCAGGAGTTTGAGGTTGCCGTGAGCCCAGGAGTTTGAGGTTGCTGTGAGCTAGGCTGACGCCACGGCACTCACTCTAGCCTGGGCAACAAAAGTGAGACTCTGTCTCAAAAAAATAAAATAAAATAAAATAAAATAAAAAAATAAAAATAACAAAACACTTGTATAGTACTTTACAAAGCACTCATCCATCACAAATCTCATTTTGATGTCTGCATCTTACTAGTAATTATATTTTAGTCTTGTAGTTAAGTGGCTTGGTTAGGTTGGTAAATAGTAAATCAAGGATTAGAACTCTTACATGTATTTCTTTCAGAGTACTAATTTATAGTATGATATTGTGTACATGTAGAAGGAGAATTGAAGTTGGCTGAGTTATCCCTAAGGAACACTTTCAACTAGAAAGTGTAAACTAGCTAACACTGACTTAGATTATTTTTCTCCTGTATGAGAAATGCAAAGGTAAGCAGTTGATGGTATTGGTTCAGCTGCCAAGAGTTGACACATTTGTTTTACCATTCTTTGTTTTTCCCCATATGTCTTTTATTTTGAAAAACTTAAAAGTTTAATTGCATATATGTTCCTTTACCCAAAAAAACTTAAGTATTTATTTCTTCAAAACAAGGACATTCTCTTATATCACCTCAGTACTATTATCAAATTCAACAAGTTTAACATAGGTACAATATTATCTAATCTACAGTGTTCCAGTTTCACTAATTGACCTAATGGTGTCCTTCAGAGCAACCCAAAAACTCTTTTTTTTTTCTGAGATAGAGTCTCGCTCTATTGCCTGGGCTAGAGTGCCGTGGCGCCAGCATAGCTCACAGCAACCTCAAACTCCTGGGCTCAAGCAATCCTCCTGCCTAAGCTCCTAAGTAGCTAGGAACTACAGGTATGTGCCACCATGCCCAGCTAATTTTTTCTGTTTTTAATAGAGACGGGGCCTCACTCTTGCTTAGGCTGGTCTCAAACTCCCTCCCAGAGTGCTAGGATTACAGGCGTGAAGCCACTGCACCTGGCCCAACACATAGACCAGGGGTCCTCAAACTTTTTAAACAGGGGGCCAGTTCACTGTCCCTCAAACCATTGGAGGGCTATTGGAGAGTGCGGCGCACATTCTACACATGTGAGCCCTGGAGAAGTCGGCTGCTAAGCAGGACAGGCAGCAGGGGCAAAAATGCCCAGTGGACCACATAAATGTCCTTGGTGGGCCGTAATTTGAGGACCCCTGAATAAACTCTTATTTTTATTTATTTATTTATTTCAAGACACAGTCTCACTCTCTTGCCTGGGCTAGAGTGCCATGGTATCAGCCTAGCTCACAGCAACCTTAAATTCCCGGGCTCAAGCGATCCTCCTGCCTCAGCCTCCCGAGTAGCTGGGACTACAGGCATGCGCCTCCATGCCCAGCTAATTTTTTCTATATAAGTTGGCCAATTAATTTTTTTCTATTTTTAGTAGAGACAGGGTCTCGCTCTTATTCAGGCTGATCTCGAACTCCTGAGCTCAAATGATCTGCCCACCTCGGCCTCCCAGAGTGCTAGGATTACAGGTGTGAGCACCCGGCCCAACACATAAACTCTTAAATCATCACATCAAATGAGTGATCAACCAAAGCATTCTTGTTTAGTTTAGTTATGGGCAGGAAGAGCATACCATTTTAAAATATGGTTCTTTTCCTTTTAAAAAGGTAGCTACAGCTGGAGGGGGTGGCTCACACCTGTAATCCTAGCTTTCTGGGAGGTCAAGATGGGAGGATAGCTGAAGCTCAGGGGTTTGACACCAGCCTGAGCACAGTGAGACCCTGTCTCTACTGAATAAAAAAAAAAGTTGCTACACACTCTGCAGTCACCTGCCCTAGTGGTTATATTAAGATGTTGTCAAAAGATCAAATTTAGAGTCAGAATCAAACATTCAGATTTACTAGCATTTTTGATATTATGATGTTACTTGCTTAAACTTCATAGACTTTTTTAAAAACATGTTCAGATTTCAGTATAACATTGTTAACCATTTTAAGGTTATGTCATGATTAAAATCAACATGCTTGGTCAGGCACGGTGGCTCACACCTGTAATACTAGCACTCTGGGAGGCCAAGGTAGGTGGATAGCTCAAGGTCGGGAGTTTGAGACCAGCCTGAGCAAGAGCAAGACTCTGTTTCTACAAAAGAGAAAAAATTAGCTGGGTGTGGTGGCTGGTGCCTGTAGTCAAAGCTACTCCGGAGGCCAAGACAGGAAGACGGCTTGAGGCCAGGAGTTTGAGGTCGCAGTGTGCTATGATGATGCCACTGCACTCTACCCAGGGTGATAGAGTGAGACTGTCTCAAAACAAAAAATACCACAACATGCTTGAATCTCTATCATTTCGTACAAAGCTGGTACATTTTTTTTTTTTTTTTTTTTGAGACAGAGTCTCGCTTTGTTGCCCAGGCTAGAGTGAGTGCCGTAGGGTCAGCCTAGCTCACAGCAACCTCAAACTCCTGGGCTCAAGCAATCCTCCTGCCTCAGCCTCCCAAGTAGCTGGGACTACAGGCATGTGCCACCATGCCCAGCTAATTTTTTCTATATATATTAGTTGGCCAATTAATTTCTTTGTATTTATAGTAGAGACAGGGTCACGCTCTTGCTTAGGCTGGTTTCGAACTCCTGACCTCCAGCAATCCACCCGCCTCAGCCTCCCAGAGAGCTAGGATTACAGGCGTGAGCCACCGCGCCCGGCCTTTTTTTTTTTTTTGGAAACAGAGTCTCACTTTGTTGTCCGGGCTAGAGTGAGTGCCATGGCGTCAGCTTAGCTCACAGCAACCTCAAACTCCTGGGCTCAAGCGATCCTACTGCCTCAGCCTCCCAAGTAGCTGGGACTACAGGCATGTGCCACCATGCCCAGCTAATTTTTTCTATATATATTAGTTGGCCAATTAATTTCTTTGTATTTATAGTAGAGACAGGGTCACGCTCTTGCTTAGGCTGGTTTCGAACTCCTGACCTCGAGCAATACGCCTGCCTCTGCCTCCCAGAGTGCTAGGATTACAGGCGTGAGCCACCGCGCCCGGCCCAAAGCTGGTAATTATTACCTCTAGTTTATCAGTAATGTTACACACATAAAAGGACTGGTTGCAAATGAAAGTATGTTGGATTTGATGTATGTGAAATTTCCTAATTGAGAACATCTTTTTCATGATTCTGGGCTCTCACAATATGAGTACTTTGAAACAGATTTCCCGTTCAAAGGGGAGATTAAACAGTTGGCACAAATTTAGTTAGCACCAAAACCTAATCATTAGTTGTGTTACTGAGTGCGTAGAAAACAGGTGTTTTTAAGATTACTAAGATTGGTAGATTACTAAAATTACTAAGAAACAGATTATAGTTACATCAAATATTTACTGAGATACTGCAAGAAGTGTGGCGCTACAAAAGAAACCCCTTTTTTCTCTTTGTGTTTTCAGATGTCTTGTAATTTCACACTTTGACTAAAGCAAGTGAGGGCTCTGTTTTAATCCATTTCTCTTTTGCTTGCTGGTTTCATAATAACTGCAGAGAAGTTGACTTGTTTCCAGTAAGTCACAGTGCCACAGTAACCAAAATCCACATCTCCCTGGAGATTGATTTAAGTGCACTTTACACTCTAAATAAAGCTACACATTGTCCAATGACATTTGCAGATGGTATCATCTGGAGCTATAATTCCAAGAAGTACCACGAATATGCTTTCCTCTCTGCATACCATCTCGATTCCTTTTTTACTCTGAGGAGGAATTTGACAAAGAGAACGTCAGCTTTAAAAGAAATGTTGAGGGCGGG